GGGCCCGGGACTGGGCCAGGTGGAGCTCCAGCTCCCCGGCGCCGCGGGGCTCCCGCCGGCCCAGCGCCGCCTCCTCCCGCAGCAGCTCCTGGTGGCGCCTCCTGGTGGCGCTGACCCGGGAGCTCATGTCGGCGGCGTGCGCCTCCTGCGTCCTCCTCCTCTCCTCCAGGAGCCGGCACAGCCGCTTCTTCTCCTCCTGGAGGAGGCAGACGCTCTTCTTCTCGGCCTCCAGGTCCCCGCAGGCCTCCTCCTGGTTCCTCTGGGACACGCGGCGGTTGATGGCGTCGGCCTGCCGCAGCTCCTGCACCTGCCGCTCCATCTCTTTGATCTCCTTGCCGTGCTTGACGATGGAGGCGACGCGCTCCTCCAGCCGCCGCTTGGAGCGCCCCAGCTGCCGGCGCACCTGCCGGTGCTCCGCCCTCGCCTCGCCCTCCTCCTCCTGCCGCTGCGTGAACACGCTCAGCGCCTGGGCCAGGGCGTCCAGGATGAGGGGCTTGGCGGCCCGGACCTCCTCCGTCTTGGCCTCCATGTTGGCCATCTGCTGCTCCAGATTCCCGGCCGCCAGGAGGAAGGCCTGGGCCACGCGGTCCCGCTCCCTCTGCAGCGCCTCCTCCTCCCGCCGCAGCTCCTCCTGCCTCTGGAGCTCCGCCTCCAGCCGCTGGCCGCACTGGCGCCGGGCCGCCGCCAGCCGCTTCAGGCTGGCCTCCATCCTGGCCCGGTGGAAGTCCAGCTCGCCCAGGAGGGTACTGGCGTCCTCCTTGTTGCGGTCGGCCGCCTCCAGCTCCTCCCTCCTGCGGGCGACGGCCACCTGCTGCCGCAGGGCGTCTTTGGTGGTCTGGACCAGCTCCCGGGACAGGTTCTCCTTCTTCTCTGCGAAGGCCTCCCTCTCCCGCGCCATGGTCTCCTTCAGGTTGACTTTTTCCTGCTGGACAGCGGCCATGGAGGACCTCAGCTCCTCTATGAGCGCCTGCGTCTCCTCCAGCTGCATCTGCAGGCTGTACTTCAGGTTGAGCTGGTCATTCAGAGTGGCCACGGCGGCGTCCTCCTCGGCCTTGAGCTTCTCCCTCTCGGGCCGGAGCGTCTGGTTGTGGACCAGGAGGGCCTCCACCCTCTCCTCGGTCTCCTCCTGGAGCCGGCAGGCGGCGCCTATGTCCCCGCGGAGCCGCTCTATCTCCTCGGCGTTGGACGCCCGGACCGCGGCCACGTCGGCCATGATCTCCTCGGTCACGCGCGCGCGCGTGTCGTTGAAGCGGTGCCTCAGCTTGCTGTTTTCGATGGTCGCCACCTCCAGGTGCTCGCGCGCGGCGCGCCGCTCCGCCTCGAGGCCCGACACGTTAGCCGTTAGCTCCGCCAGGTGGAGGCTGGCCTCGGGGGCGAAGGGGACCCCCTCCTCGCTCAGGTGCTTGTCCAGCTCCCTCAAATGCTCCAGAGCCATCATAACGGCGGGGAAGTCGGGCACCAGGCAGGAAGCCATGTTTTTAGGGGGGGTTTCCCGTATTTCTGTGCGGCTGAAAACGACGTCTGTGGAAAAACTTGGGATAACTGCCAGCGTTCTAGAGCGGTTGGAGTTGCCACGACAACAGTTGCCCCGTTACGGAGTGTTCGCGTGCTACGGCAAGCCGGTGGCGAAAACATGTCGGGGCAATTCCTGACCGCGGGCTAGTCGCAAAACGCCACAGATTCTTCTGCCAAAACAGTAACAAACCGCAGAAAAACCCACCAAATAAAGCTTAAAATGAGTCCAGGCCGCCTGGAAGCCGCGTTTGAAAAGAAGACTAAACAAACGAAACAGCATCCAGAGACCCCGGTATTGAAGCTAGCGCTAAAGCCGGACGTGAAATCCGGTTTGGTACCTACCTGAGAGGTGGAGCAGATCCAGAGGAAACACCTTAGCTTCACCTCCAGGTCCCCCTGAGAGAGCCCGAGCCAGCCGGCGTCCGAGAAACGCGAGCTAATAGCTAACTGCTAACAGCAGCTGGCAGGAAACGAGCCCGCGCGTTGCCAGGTTTGAAGATTTTACGTGTTTCTGTCCAGTGACTGATCAATGACTTTGCATAAAAAAGGACAAAGTCAGTCTGATACATAATTATCAGTGTGATAAGTCAGATGCATATGCATTATTAAAGACATCAAACTACTATTTTCCATGTGGTGAACCTGTAGTCCTTAAGGATTGTCCGGTTGATTGACTGATTGGAGATCTGCATCAACCAATGATGAGCAGGAGGATATGCCTCTGGATGAGATTACCTTTAAGGTAATTGTCTGTTATTTTTTAATCACAGACTTTATTTTTCCATTTGATAAAAATATGCAAAGCCAGCATTTGAACCGTACCTCTTGATGTTATTGAACGAAGTAATGTGAACAGTAAAAGTAATTTAATGGGAAAAATATGGACAGCTCATTTGAATGTTTTTGGAACCATGATTAATCAATTTTATTGTGAAGTTTTTATGGAACAGAGTGGCATTTGCACCAAACATTATTTCATGAAAGAATATTAAAAGCAACTTACAAACTTACAGGTTAAATTATTTCTGTTGGATTTTCTGAGCTGATTGCTTGAATAACTTAATTAGCATTTGTTTATTTTTGGTCTTAACCCATCAAAATGCTGTTTTCTGGATTCAATCGGAGAACTTTGTTCAACAAATGTAACTCCTCTGTATAAACAAATTGACTTGATTAATGGAGGAATATTCAATGCTATATATATTTAAATACATCCAGTTTACATAGTTCCTGCGTTTGGGGAGATTTGTAGAAAAATGCCAGTGTTGTTTATTTGTAAGTTTGTTAACAACAGGAGTTTTATTATTAAAGTCATATGTGTAAAATGTTTCCCCCCCTTTGTCAGATCTGTTTTTTTTCCTGAGTTTTTTTAACATTCATTAAATTCTGTCACTGAGTTATCGGTTCTGAATCCTCATTTCACAGCACTGATCCCCCCTATTTCTTTCTATTTTCAGACGTTTTTTAGCCTCAAATTAATCCTGAGCTTTCAGATTCAATAAAGAAATGAAGCCCTTGTGCAAATGTCTCTGGACAACAACCTGGAGGTTGATATTCAAAACCTGAGTGGACAGAAACATGATGAAAATGGTCTAAATAAATTGGTCTGAATGTGTAAATCTGGACGATTTGTCAGAAAAGGATTTATTAACATTTCATGGAGTGGTTCACACGTTTTGACCATGAGCCCGTTGGAGCAGCCCCTGGTGGCCGCCGGTGGTACTGCACCCCGAGGCACTTTGGCTTCCCCTCACTTCCACGTGACCACATCAGACTCCCCAAAACTCTGCTCAGCCCCTCAGCCTGACGTCCTCTGTAGAAACCCCCAAACTCTAAGATATCCTACAACACACAGGATCGGCTTCCTGCTGAACTGAACGGGCCCGGTCAGCTGGGGTCAGAGGTCAGGGCCGGCTGGGGGTTCACAGCCGGGTGTCGGCCTCAGAGCGGGCGCCCCCCCCCCCTGTTGCTCCTGCAGTGGGCGTAGACGTAGGCGGGGTGGATGAAGGCCAGCAGGGTGAGCAGCGTGAGCACCACGTCCACCTGGAACAGAGAGGGGAGCCCCGTCTGAACCAGTCTGAACCGGTCTGAGCCAGGGCCTGAACTGGGGCCTGAACCGGGGCCTGAGCCCCGTTTGAACCGGTCTGAAACGGGGCCTGAACCGGTCTGAGCCTGGGCCTTAACCGGTCTTAGCCTGGGCCTGAACCGGTCTGAGCCTGGGCCTTAGCCTGTCTGTGGCGGTCTGAATTGGCCTGAACTGGTCTGAGCTGGTCCGAATCGGTCTGAGACGGGGCCTGAACC